TAAGCTCAGACTGCCGCCAATCATTCTTATTTGGATCAGCACCAAATGGCATAGCTTCGTAGATTTATCTGCGCTAAAATTGTCCAATGCACAGCGTTTCATGGAAATTGGCTAATTTGTTTTTACATGAAGCTGTTCCCAAGCAAAATCACAGAATGAAATGAGTGGAAATGCCACAAATATGTTCCAGCCTTTTCCTGAAAAAAAAAAACAACAAAGAAATTGTTGGAATTTTCATGAGGGAAAAATTGCTAGGGTGGTGTAATACAGATGTTTCACTGCAATGTCACGAGTCCTCTCAGCTCATCAATGCGGCACTAATATGTGCCTTTCTTTGCAGAGGATGAATAATGTATGTCTGTGACGAGTGCACTGTTATATTGACACTCTACACCAGGGATGTCAAACCAATTTTTTTTTGTCACGGGCCACATTGTAATTACTGCTTCCCTTGAGGGGACATTAGGACTGTGAAACCGTGTAAAAAAACTCAAGAGTAATGGTTTATTCAAGTACAGTATTGTCTACGTAGGTGTAATGAGAGGTTTGGTAACAAGAAAATGCGTACAACGTCTGTGTTATTTATTAAATATGCAAATTTTAAATTTTGGTACAGATTTCAGCGAGCATCATGAAAGTTGACATGTTTGATTTGCTTCCGCGGGCCGCATAAAATGATGTGGCGGGCCAGATCCGGCCTCGGGGCCTTGAGTTTGACACCTGCGATCTCCACGTTGCGACACTGTGGGTGTCTTTGATCAGTTATGAATGGGCAATAGCATTGGAACTAGTCATGCTAGCAGACTGAAATACTAAACCACATCTGGCTTGTGTATTCTCTTTGGTGTATGTTTCGTTTGAGAGTAAACTTCAACCCTGTTTTGAAGGCTTGCTCGCTACCTCCACTCAAGTAAAAGGAAAAATAAAAACAGAGCAATGATGTCTTTGATCAGTTATGAATAGATAATAGCATTGGAACTAGTCTGCTAGCATTATGCTAGCAGACTGAAATGCTAAGCCACATCTGGCTTGTGTATTCTCTTTGGTGTATGTTTCGTTTGAGAGTAAACTTCAACTCTGTTATGAAGGCTTTCTCCCTACCTCGAGTCATGTCAAAGGAAAAATAAAAACAGAGCAATGATGTCAGAATCCTAAGTCGGGTCACTGGTATTGTGACTGAACAGCCGTCGAAACCACAACAGCAAATCGCACCAGAAGCATCTTAACAGAGCGATTTGTTCCAGGACTACTTGCCTTGCTGTTGATGGTGTTGGAGTGGACCTGCCCAAGCCTGCCATCCCCGCTGAGGCCCATCTGCGACCTGAGGGTGCTGAACCATTTCATCAAAGAAGCGCAAGACGCCGAAGTCGCCATGGTGAGACGGTGGGCATCGTGATACGGCTTCACGGCCACGCCATTTCGTCACTCCTGCGCTTGTTTCCTTAGAAGTCATGCCGGAATGGATGCAGCCTGTCTCAGTCCGTCAGCATTCCCCAAACCAGAGTAGACTTTGACGTCTGGGATAGGAAAAATGTGAGACGTCCACCGACATTCTTGCTGCGAAATCCTGCCCAGTAGCTTACCTGTACTTAGCGCGTCACTTGTGTTTTGAGCAGGCCATGGAGAAAGCCCAGGAAGTGCAGTGCGGACTGTGGCTCCTGCAGCAGGCCCTCGGCTTGCTGCGCAGCTCGGTCACCAACGCGGCGCTGCACGGCCACATCGACAACTTGGTGAGGAACGTGCTCAGCATCAACGCCGTGCTGCGCAGCCTCAACATTCCGGTGAGTCGGCACGCCCGCGCTCCTTCGACGTACTGTGAGGGTTATATTAATGTTAGGGTTGAATATTATTTATCCTCTGCAAAGAATGACCAATGGGAAAAAAAAAAATTGTTGATAAAATAAAATCAGAAATGCTTGACAAAAACTAATTGAAACTACATCTTACGTTCATTACGGGAACTAAAGCTAATATTAAAGTGAAACTGTCCTTCATTTTCATCTTTGTCAATTAATACTGTATTGTACGTGAGCTTGAGGGGTTCATCTCAAATGTCTTTATTTCTCTATTGCTGTACGCCCGTACAGAACTATGAAGGTCAATCAGTCGTATGAGAACCAAAGTTTACTTTCCTTTGTTAGACAATACTGAGTGAACTTATTTTTATCTTGCACTCAATATTCCAAATCTTAAAAAAAAAATAACAATAATAATTACTAAAACAAATCAAAGCTAAACTAAAACGAAGCATTTTCAAAACACCTAAAAGGGACAAACCTACTATAAAAACAATTTAAAACCAACCAAATTTAAAAGACGAAAGTGAAACTAAAATAAAGAAACTATTACCGGTACAACCCTGAAGGTAACTCAATGTGCTTCGCATAATTCAAAGCACAACTTTCAATACATTTACAAACAAAAGAGTTGAAGACATTTAAAAACAAAGTAAAGGAATGAAAAGTCACTCTGTAGAATGACTAAAAGAAGGTACAGTGCAAGAACAAGATTTTGGAAAACAGGATTTAAAAAAATCCTCTGAAAGACCTCAATCGTAGATATGGAGGGTAGCGAGGGGGCATATTTATTAACCTGGATTTAAAGCAGTTACCCCCCCGAGGCTGACTTCACTTCTGTTCGAAGCTTATTTCATTTGCGTGCAGCATCACAGCTAAACGCTGCTTGACCGTGTTTGCTTTGAACAGTCATTTATAGATGACATTTTATGAAGGACCTTGATTGAGTCAGGATATGAGTGTTCGGTCAAATCCATCATGTTGGTGAGCCCTGATCTAAATATCTATCTAATATCTAAATAGGGATTGGATAGCTCATTGTGCAGTGACCTTTCCTTTTTTTTTTTTTTTTTTTGAAACCAAACAGTGATCTTTTTTTGTGCATCAAAACAAGAGCCAAATTGTTCTCCTTTTCAATGAAATTAGTCTCTGTGCACTGGAACATGGAACACATGCCGCTCTTCAAACACGCCTCGGTTTGCCTAATAGCGGTTTCAGTGTTCTAGAAACAGGGCTTTAAGTTAGGTAAATGTTATCAAATCTGTAGTTCTTTTTTTTTTTTTTTGGCTCCTTCTTGATCTTACTGAGTCATTTTGGACTACCGTGAGCTTTGTGGGAAAAGTTTGGACCAGGCGTAACTCCACCCCAGGGAGCAAACAAAACAAGGTCCTTGGAGGCCTGCTTGGACGGAGGGTAGAAGAAGCTCGACAAACACCAAACACGGAGTGGTATCGACACCAGTAATTTTGGACCTGAAAAATGCTCCAGAATTCCCCCAGACATCTTCCCAGAAAATATTTGCGACATGTGGCCCACAGGTGCTCTCCAGGGGCGGACAAAAGAATCACAGCCTGATTACAGATCAGTTGTATTTATCTTTGAAGTACCCCCCCCCCCGTTTGCTTTGAACCTCTTTCACAAGTGCTTCCTTTTGAAGATGTATTCACGCGTGTGACAATTCCATCTTTATGGCAGGAATACACGCCTCCGGCGAGCTCGGCGGGCCTGGAGAGCACATGGCGGGCGTCCACGGCGGCCGACTTGCTCCAAGTGCACGTCAACTTCCTGCGAGGCAAAGTGCGCCTCCTTCTCACGGACGCGCAGGCCTGTCAGCAAGACGTCAGCTGATTGCCCCACTCCAAGCTTTTGCCGCTTTATCCTGCCGAGGCGAGAGAAAGGCCTCCCCTTCTGATGACCTACTTGCTAGCTGCTAGAAGTGGTGTGGAATTTAGGAAACAAAAAAACAAAGCACAAAGCCACAACCATCCTTTTTTTTTTTTTTAACTGAGCGAAGTGAGGGCAAAGAACGGTCACAGCTGGAGAGAATGGCACCTTGAAATGTCCTCGCGGACATACGCAAAGAAGCGCGGCTCTTGCACTTTTGGTGTATGTGCCAGTTAAGACTGCACATGGGTGTGTTTGTCTCTTGCCTGACAGTTTAACCTTTTGAAATACGGAACAGGATCCGGTGAATAATTGATGACCTACAAAAAAACGTGAATGAGGCCTTCACACACACTTTCTGTCTGGTGTTTGTTTATTTGTACACAGTGACCAGGTGGCATAATTTTTTTTTTTTATAAAAATTGCATAATGACTATTTATACAGATTTTCTACTTTTGAGCTTTGTATTTGTCAGTGTTCATCTTGGGCGTGGCTAACACATGTTTGGAAAAGCCACCGTTTGCTTTGTGTCATCACATCGCCACCCCCCCCCAACCCGAAAAAAGGATGCAGTGAACGGGGCAGCCAGAGTTCAATCAGGAGTACATGAGAACCGTGAAGCTACTCCGTCACTATCTGTCCAACAAACAGTCAAGCAGAGCCTGCACAGTGATAGCCTGCTAAAAGAAACAAAAACATCCTGCAAACTAACCACGTCTTTGAAGAGCAGGAAAGCGGTCTGTCCCCTGAATCTGCGTCATTTGGACAAAATGGAAGTTCAGCTATTCCAAACTCGTTCACTTTTCTTCCTTGTTGTTTTCCTCTTTTTTTTTGTTACTTGTTGCGCAAGGGCAAGATGCTTTTTGAGGATGTTTGCACATGTTCTCCTTTCCTGTTTTCACATTACCAGTCCAATCACTGTAAAAGTTGCTATTTATGTACAAAATGTTATTCTTGGATAAAGAAATGATAGAAACAAGTGGTCTGTCCTCATTTTTCCTGTTTGCAAATCAACAAATGTAATCTGAAAACAAAGTGCCGATTCCAAATTGACACAAGTGAATTCCATTCACTTGGAAAAAAATATATTCATTTTTAATGGGCTTTTTTAAAATTACATTGCTGTTTTTCTGAATATTGTTTTTGGTTTTCACAATTAATGTTTTCATTTGAAATTTTTCTGGGGGGGTGGTTTTTCGATTTATTTTGTTAATGACAGAAAAAAAATCAGTAAACAAAAAGTTACGAAAAAAAAAAAATTTAAGTGGATGTACGTTTCCATAAGTGCACTTAAGTGAGGATAAGGAATACGACGTACAAATTGCTGGCTGTGTTCTAGCTATTTTTATTTGTAGATTACAAACAAGACTTCCACTGGCAAATGTTTGGGATGGTAGAAGAAAACAAAAGGTATAGGTGGAGCTTATTGACGACTGACACCCTGCCAACATTCAATACAACAACACAACTTGCAAAGTAAACATTACTACTGTACATTAGCGATGTGAACAATACTTGGTGCATATGGAAAGCAATTTTTGCACAAAAAGGCATTCAAAACTAAAGAAGCATGTTCCTAACACACTATGAAAAAAATACTTCAGTCTCACATGTTAACTGCTTAAAAAGACCCTGGCCACTAACCTGAACTGGAATAGCTTGGTTTTGTTTTGCTACCACTCAAAATTTAGCGTGACATTTAACATTTTTCCCCCATCAGGACGCCTTTGTACAAAACTCAGTCGTCCAAATAAATTACATGTTTGACACACACGCATGCAATTGAAGAGAAGTTGCTCCGGCTGCTGCTTGCTGCCTTCACTAAGGGTCGGGGTAGAAAACCTTGATGTGGATGGCCGAGTTGTTACGCGTTCGGGTCAGGGGCTCGGCGACCTCGTCCGCGTCCTCGGGTTCCAGGTCGTCCACCAGCTCCACTGTGGAGGTATTGGCGGCCAGCTGCAACGCCCCCTGGCTGCTGGCCTGCAGCTGCAGCGCGATGTTGATGGCCCGATTGATGGCCAGGCCCAGGCCGTGCACGCAGATCTCCCGGTGGCCGCTACCGCCGTCCAACAGCTTCTGGCAGCGGGCGAGCTGCGCCCGGAAGTCCGTCTTCATGTTGACGTATACGTCGTTGCGCCTCTTGGGGAGCTTGCGGGGCAGTCTTTTCCGAAGGGTGTACTCCACCGGGTCGATGTCGACGGCGCACGGACTGTCGGAGGGTTGCACGGGGGCGACCGCGTGGAGGGATGACATCCCCGGATTGCGAGGCTCGCTCATATCACACCGAAAAGCTGCATCGGGAGGAAAATTGTATCACCTCTGCCTAAAAATGGCTCCGGTTTACGTCACTACACGACATATTGCAGCACTGAACGCTGAATAAGGGACGCAAACTCGGCTAATAAATGCGTTTTCTTCTTCTCGACCAACCACGTCACATTAAATCAAAGTCTCATTGCAGTATTTCTTACCTGCGGCTGATAATTGGGGAAAAGATTCGCTTTTTTCTCGTCGATTAGTACAGTAGCATCTTAGCACAAGCGGTTCAAGTCGTCACCGTGACCCGGATGTAGAAGAAAACAGGAAGGGGGGCGTATCGCCGGCGTTAAATAAATTTCAGTTTTTTTTTTGTTTTTTTGCTTTTCAACCAGCAAATGAACATTACATTATAGCCGTGCTTCTGTATTTCTTATCAGCGGCAGTGTCTTTCGTTGTCGCTCAGTCGTAGTGGCATCTTAGCACAAGCTGACTGGCCGTGAACCGGAAATACAATAGAATAATAAAATATGTATTCTTCAATCAAAAAAAAAACACGTCTTATTAACCACTGAAAATGATTGTTCGAAAACTAACGGAATTAACAATAACGCAATGTGGTAAAATCATGAAAAGTTCAACGCAAGTGATCAAAACAAACCGAAGTGAAAGAGAAGCACATTCATGGCACAAAACGTGTGTACCTATCAGGCGTTAATTTGCGTTGGGTTGATTGGCATCCTCCTCTATATACTCCTAAAAAAAAAAATGAACACAAATCGTAAAACATTTTTTTAAAAAGAAACTACGCGTCTGGTTATGGGCTAAACGACGGGGTCTGCCGCCACCTTGCGGTCAATGATCTGTCACACTGAACAGGAAGCGATTATTTTGTTTTTTTCCCCAAATATGTATGCTGAACAATAAAGACGACCGGTGCACACACTGGCTATGAATGTCTTTAATGTTCCCAGATCAGTAATCACAGCATACAGTGGATCATAACTTCAAAAGTAAACAGAAAGATCATCACCTTAATAATTTTTCTCTACTCTTTTAGCACCTTTTTTTCCCCTCAAAATTCCCCTCAGGAACAATTTTTTTCTTAAGTCTTGGGTTTTCATTTCGGAAAAAAAAAAACAAAAAAAAAAGGAGACAACAGGTGCATCTTTGCTTCGGAATCCTAGCACGAAGTTCACGCGCATCTGTGTGTTTGCTATTGTGTGCTTGCATGTGCCACTGACTTCAAACAAATGACCTTGTTTGACTCCTCCCATCAGAATAAACATAACAGGCAACACAGTGTGCGGACAGTATCGGAATAACTGTAAGATCTTATTCTTGTGTGTGTGCGAGGCATCTTATGGTATCAAAGCCCTCATGTCAGACCCACATTGAAGTGGCTTCATGTAAACATGATTGATTACATGTGAAGTGAGCTAATCGAGGGCCTCGTCTCACCATGGATCAATGGCGGCTTCCCTTCACCTCCCATTTTGTGGCGCACAAAAGCATGGCTAACTTTGACTTGAACATCTATGCAGAACTCAGCTCGTCACGTATGCTTAAATAACAAGGTGTACTTTTAAAGTGAAAGAATGAAAATATGTGAGTGGCAATTACATTGCTGGCACAAAATGAGATTATTATGATTATTATTATTATTATTTTTTGTAATTCAGAGTCGCATTTATTTGAAAACCAGCATGATGTATTTCTGCTACAGTGTCTCAAACAGAAAGATCATCACCTTAATAATTTTTCTCTACTCTTTTAGCACCTTTTTTTCCCCTCAAAATTCCCCTCTGGAACAATTTTTTTCTTAAGTCTTGGGTTTTCATTTCGGAAAAAAAAAAACAAAAAAAAAAGGAGACAACAGGTGCATCTTTGCTTCGGAATCCTAGCACGAAGTTCACGCGCATCTGTGTGTTTGCTATTGTGTGCTTGCATGTGCCACTGACTTCAAACAAATGACCTTGTTTGACTCCTCCCATCAGAATAAACATAACAGGCAACACAGTGTGCGGACAGTATCGGAATAACTGTAAGATCTTATTCTTGTGTGTGTGCGAGGCATCTTATGGTATCAAAGCCCTCATGTCAGACCCACATTGAAGTGGCTTCATGTAAACATGATTGATTACATGTGAAGTGAGCTAATCGAGGGCCTCGTCTCACCATGGATCAATGGCGGCTTCCCTTCACCTCCCATTTTGTGGCGCACAAAAGCATGGCTAACTTTGACTTGAACATCTATGCAGAACTCAGCTCGTCACGTATGCTTAAATAACAAGGTGTACTTTTAAAGTGAAAGAATGAAAATATGTGAGTGGCAATTACATTGCTGGCACAAAATGAGATTATTATGATTATTATTATTATTTTTTTTTTGTAATTCAGAGTCGCATTTATTTGAAAACCAGCATGATGTATTTCTGCTACAGTGTCTCATTGCTACAGAATGTCCACAGTCGTAAGTGGGATAAGGACAAGACAAAAATAAAATTAGCATTGGCCACCCTTTCTTTGCAAACTGCACCTGTTGTCATAAGTCGTCACAAAATTTGGGCATTTCGTTTAACCCCCCCCCCCCCCCCCCCCCCAAAAAAAAAAGGAAAAGGAAAAACTATCAAGAAACTTAATATTTACAAATATTTTATCTGGTTGATTCTTACACATAAAAATGTACACTTTTGATTTGTTTGCACGTTGGTGTGTGTCTGTGGAAGTCCTTCAGCCATCTCGCATCCTCGTTGCGCACTGCAAGTCATCTTCCAGTGGCAGTTTATAAAATAGACAAGAAAGAAGGACAGCCTAGCGCGCAGTGCTTGCGGTAATCTGCTTCAGGTGGTGTCACGGTCCCTTCACCTCATGACACCCACCCGCCACTCACTGACTTTGACCTCACAATGGGGTACAAAAGCGTGGATCGGGAATCCTCCAAAGGACAGAAATGCAAAAGTTTCATCTTGGCAAACAGAGAAGATACAAAGCTGGCCATGCCTCGAAATGTCAGCTCAACGTGTCCCCTTTATGATTTAAGGCTTTCTCCAAAGTCTCTTTTTTTTTTTCTTTTTGTCTAATACATTGTGCAGGTGTCTCGCTTTGCAAAACTCTCAGATTGAGCGCTCAGTGAGGCGATGGCCTCCGGCACCTTTGCCCCCTCACTTGGATCGGAATACAACCAAGAAAAAAAAAAAAAAAAAAAATCAAAGAAACAGGCTAAAAGCTAGCACACAAGCAACGACAGCACCGGTGACAGAAACAAACAAACAAAAAAAAAAAAAAAACGTCACAATCGTGGACAGCTTCACATGTTGCTGTTTTGAGGGTCCCACGTACCGTAACTCTCCGCCGGTCAACCCGCCTGTGTGCTTAGAGTGGCCATTTCAGGTCTTACTTTACCTTTGAACGACAGGATTAGAAATAGAAGAGTCGAATTATCATGAAAAGAGACACGCACGCACGCACACGATGATATGATGCACACTCTTTGCATTGGACCTAACACGCTTGAAGCAAACCATGGACGTGCGGGATGGAAAAATGAGACACAAGTACAGCTTTTGGTAACTTGTGAAAGCGCTGCGCAGATGGCCAGAAAGCAGAGGCTTGCTATCGCTGGCGTCACAACAACAGAAGGTTGCCCAAATATCCACATGGGAGATGAGTGAGATGAAGATGGCGCTCGCGTGTTGTCTGTTTTTTTTTTTTTCTGAACTGATGCAGGGAGGTGAAGCGATTTTTTGTCGGATTGGGGAAAATGTGTGACAACAGTGCCCCCCCCCACCACCCCCAACCCCCAATGAGCCTCCTTTGAAAAGAATTCATGCATAGATCCCCTACCGCAAAATACCCAATTATATAGACTTTCTCCTTTGTACACATATACAACTATATATTTTTAGATATACTTTCTCTATAACTATATTTTCAACAAAACAAACTGCTGTTGCACATTAAAAAAAAAAAAAACAACAACAACAACTGAACAAGAGACAAGCAGTGAAAGAAATGAAAAAGCACAATCGAGGGCCACTTTGGCACTTTGTCATGAGAACACATTTGTTAGTGGACAATAAATATCGTCTTTTCTTTTTTTTTTTTTTTGCCCGTCATGAGAATGCAAACATCGAACTTGGCACCGAGAATGCTGGTTGAATGAAAGTATAAGATAGAAGATAACTTTTCAGAGCCGACCCCCCACCCCCTTTACAAACACTGGAAAACGGGCGAGGGAAAAAGCAGGGTTCGGAGACAGATGTAGAAAAGAGAATGACACAGAAGGGGAATGAAACAGTAGGCGACACCACTATACTTGGAATAATTAAAGACAAAGAAAAGGCGAGAGTTCCCCTTCAAGAAATGGCAAGGGGCTGCTCGGAAAAAAAAACAAACAAACAAGCATCCCAGCACTTTTGAGAAGAGCTGTTTCTCTCAAAAACGCACAGTTTGGTTGCGATGCCGACTCTTCTCTTGAGCTTGGCCGCACAATACGGAAGTGGCGGAGATGTTCTCGGAGAGTCACCGAAAACCACAGATTCCAGAGGTCGTCGCCCTTGCAGGTTGTCAGAAGCACAACCGCTCTTCCTGGTCCTTAGATGGTGCTGCGAGTGTTGGCTCAGCCCCAACTATACTCTGGTGGTGGAGTGGGGGTGGGGCAGAGTGTTGTTGTGGCCGGTGGTTGGGAAGGTATTAAAGGCATGAAGGGGCTGCATGCTCGTGATGGTGCTGGGGATCATGGTGATGGTGTTGGGCGTCATCAGAGGCACGTCGTCCGGGGCCCGGCGCAGCGCCAGCGTGTAGTCGGGCGGGCAGGCGGGCCGCAGGATGTCGTGGGGCCGCAGGGGCTCCATGTCGTGGTGAGCGTCGTGCTCGGAATGCTTCATCTGCAGGGACATGATCTCCTCCTCCTGGCTGTGCGCCAGGTCATTGGCGGGGCCGCCCCGCTGGGGAGAGAGCCGGTGGCGTCGCATCTCGTGCCTCTTGTCGCGCTTGTAGTAGAGGGCGGCGAAGGCCAGGATGTTGAGAAAGAGGAGGGACGCCCCCACGGCCACCGTCACGCTCAGCTCCGTGGAGTAGTCGCGGGTGTCGCCGGGGAAAAGGACGGGAGGCGGACGCTCCGAACCGTCGGGCTCCGGGTCGTACGAGAAGGTAGGGTAGGGGCGATGGGTGGTGCGCGGGCCTGTAGTTCTGGTTCTGGGGGTGCCGGGGCCCGGGCCGGGGGGTGAGCGAGTGGTGGTTGAAAAGAGCTCATCGTGCAGATTGTGGAGATGGGGGACCAACTCCAACCAGAAGGCCACCTTGTTGGCCCTGTAGTTGTCTCTGACGCGAGGTTTCAAGCCAATGTGGAGGTACTGCTTGTCCTTGGAGTTGAACTTAGTCCAGATGACTTCTTCAAAGCGATTGGGCTTGGTGTGGATGAATTTGGTGTCCTGGGGGACTGGCAAGTTGGGATCCCTGGCGGAGGACCAATGAGACAATGTCAAGGTCACGTCACTGAACATCAGTAAATATGCAAAAAAAAACGAAGGTTGGCCCTTTGGGGCTCTCTCCATTGTACAATCTAAAGTAGGTACAGTATCGGAATGTGAAAACCAACAATGCTCACCCGGTCTTGGCAAAGTTGGTCCAGTAAGTCATGACGACAGCGCTGAGCATCACATCATTCTTGGAGAAGTTGCACGGGAACAAGTCGGTGGCGCCGATCATGGGCACCCCGAAAACATACGGGATCTCGTCTCCGTGGGCGGCGTCGGCCCACTCGGGCCGCGTCTCCGTCTGGCAGTGGTGGTAGAAAGTGTAAAAGTAAACGGGCGACTGGAACTCGGCGTGGAGCTTGGCGGTGGCCACCGCCGGCGCCACCCACTGGTGGTCTGTAAACAGCGCCAGTAAGGTCTTGCGCCGCATGTCGCCGTTGTCCCTGTCTGCCCAGTCTGTGTACATGAACTTAATGGTCTCCCTCAGGATGTCTTTGCCTGGAGGAGGAAAGAGAAACTGTGATCAATCATCAGTAAAGCTCGTTGTCAGAGCCCCACTGACATGAATGTGACAGAGATGCACTCAAGGCCAAAAGGTCGAACGGGTCTCTAAAGCAGTGACAGGCAGGGCAAGCGCACTCTCCATCTGGGTTTGTTTTTGTTTTTTTTGATGGAGGCTTGCTATGTCGGCAGTTGGATTCTGCTTGAAAAGACGGCGCTGTGATTTGAAGATTCCACACTCTGGGATGGCGGGAGATGGCAAAAGCGCCCGCAGAGCCTCAAAGCCCAAAGCGTGGACCTACCATGGAGACAGATCATCCTCATGACGGGGGATCTCCTTTGTATGCCGGACCACTTTATTCGCTTCAGACACTTGAGTGGCTTTCGTCGCTCATCTTTTCCCCACACAATGTTGAAATGATGTTTCGTTGTTTTTTTGTTGGGAATAAAATCTCTTGGTTGCCGAGTGGTTAGCGTGTCGACCTCACAGTGCAGAGGTCGTGGGTTCGAGCCTGGATCCGGCCTTCCCGTGTGGAGTTTTCATGTTCTTCTCGTGCCAGCGTGGGTTTTCTCCGATCTCTGGGTACTCTGGTTTTCTCCGGGTACTCCGGTTTCCTCCCACATTCCAAAAACATGCATGGCAGGCTGATTGAAGGCTCTAAATTGTCCTTGGGGTTGGAGGGTGAGCGTGGATGGTGGTTCGTCTCTGTGTGTCCTGCGATTGGCGGGCAACCGGTTCAGGGTGTCCCCCGCCTACTACCCGAATCGGCTCCGGCACCCTCCCGCGACCTTTGTGAGGATAAAGCGGATTGGAAAATGGATGGATGGATAAAATTTCTTACCCTCGGGGTATCCGTAGAGGTTGTCGACAAAGTTGGAGATGGTGTAGTCAAACGCCGCCGCTGAGATGCCGTCATTGTCCTCGCTATCGTCGACAAACTTCAGCCCCTCTCCTTGATTGACGCCAATCAGCATGTCGTAGTTCAGGAACTCCCCCTTGAGCCCGAGGGCAGGAAGGAAACGCTCAGTGCCGGACATGGCAAGACTCATGCAAAATATCATCATTACCTGCTGCATGAGGATCTCGGGATCGTCAGGCACCACATCTCCGTCGACCACGGGGCCGAAGGCGATGTGGTAGCGAGCCGGTTGAATGTCCTGGTCCACGAGCTCCCTGAAGTTCTTGCGCCTCAGGCAGTCCACCAGGTCAGCCGTCTCGGTGTATGTGCAGCCCACCTTGCGAGCCAGGATCTTGGTGTACTTCAGGGGCTGGTAGTTAACAGACCAGCTGGAGATGGCCGTTCCACTTTGGGCAATGGCCCTGTGGAAGAGACCTGGAAAGAAAAAGAGACCCTAAATGTTGTCGATTTCACGAGCATATGGAGTGGAATCATCTGCTCATTTGCATTTAAAATCTTCTCCAAAGCTGGCGGATGAAGCCTCGCATGCGGTGTAATGTAAGGGATGCTAATGAGAAGGTTTGGAATGAACTGTCAGACTGCGGTGGTCTCCCTCGTCTTCCTTAAGTCTGTCTGACTCAAGTTCTGTCACTCCGACTGCCCAAGTGGCTCGTTAGGGGGCTGCCCGCATCACTCGTTTTTCGAAGCACTTTCTTTTTCTTCATCTCCCCGCCTCGCTGCGTCGGAGTACCGGCCGCTAAATTATTAAGCCCGGCTGCAGAGCCCCCGTTTCCCTTAGAAATCAATTACCGTACACTGAGAGAGAAGTATGGCGGCAGAAGGAGAAGGCAGCTTTTCTTCAAAAACATTTTTTTTTTTTTTTTTGTGACTCCCCCTCCTCCATTTTACTGCCATGATCACG